AGTTTGTCCAAATTAGTAATTATAGTGGGACTTGAGCCAGTAGAGAGATGGCTGCCCTCTTGGGTGCCATAGTATCGTAGAAGAGAAGAAAATCACCCAACTAAAGAATAGCCTTACAATAGTTGGTCTGTTTGCATTTCTCTAATACATCTTGGTAGATGTATGCTCTAGAGCAGGGGTGGGGAACCTTTTTCCCTCCAGGGGCCATTTGTATATTTATAACACCATTTGCTTAATATAATTCACTTAATATAAATGTATGTTGCTATGAAAAAAGCTCCTAGATTTATTGAATTTAAAGTCTCGCCTGTAGTTGCCTTGGCAGGGCCAGACCAGATGATTTTGTGGGCCGTATTGGTGGCCCACAGGCCAGACGTTCCCCACCTCTGTTCTAGAGTAAGGCAGGCAACCATGATTGAGCAGAGTATCTGTAGACTTTTCAGGCTACGGTTTCTCTAAGTCAGTAAGAAGCCATCTTACTTTCAACTTTTCATCACATTTACAGAATATTTGGTTGTACTGTCTGTAGATATATATTTTTTTAATTAGGTAGATTCAAGGAGTTAAAAAGAAAAGATGACAATTCTTGGTCTCTGAACACAAATTCTAGGTGGTGATAGTTTATATATATTACTTAAAATTCACCAGAAATAGAAGGTAGTTCTGATATATCTTACTTGCCATATATTTGAAGGACACAGAAGTTTAGGATTGTGAGAAATAGATGCTAGGACTTTTGAAGAGTCCTTTATGCAGGAAGAAGGACTTAAAATTGAGTTGTATTTGTGAATATAGGTAAGCTGGGGAGAGCATTCCGAGAGGAGAGCACTGTGCAAAAGGGTAGGCTGGGATGAACTGTTCCTATGAAAATTAGATTGAAGTCAGTTTGCAGATTGTTTGAAAACCAGGATAAAAAAAGAAAAGAAAAGAAAAGAAGTTCATTGGTTTAACCAATTGGTTCAGTTGATTGGACCATCATCCAGTATACCAAAAGGTTGTGGGTTCAATTCCTGGTCAGAACACATACCTAGACTGTGGTTTCGGTGGATCCCTGGCAGGGCCGTTTGCAGGAGCAAATCAGTTGATGTTTCTCTGTCTCTCTTTCTCTCTCTCCCTTCCTCTCTCTCTAAAAATCTATAAACATATCTTTAGGTAGGAATTTTTTGAAAAAGTCCATTGGGTCTCTAAGTTTTAAGTAAGAATTATCTAGAAAATGTGTTAACATAGTGTCTTGGGGCCTTATCTCTAAATATTCTCTTGCACTCAGTTGGAATAGGGCCCAGGAGCTTCCTTGTCACTAACCCAACATCATCACCCTCTGATTCTGATGCACACACTTCACATTTTCAGTAGATTGCTTGTCAAGGAAAATGAAAAGATTTTGTCTAGGAAACTAGTTTGTGTGTTGATATATTTCTAAGAAACTATATTAATTAAAGCAGTTCGAAGAGTCAGGGGTCAGTGAAACAGACGTTACAACCCAGGAGTGCAGAGAGTCGGCACTTGTCTGGGTTGACAGCAGTGGTGGGAAGAGGAGGGGAGTTTTAAGGAATGTAGAACGAACAGGATCCAGGCATTTATTAGCTGCTTGAGGGTAGGAGCTGGATCTTATTCATTTTCATGACTCCCGCTGTGTACCCAGCAGATAGTGGGTTCTCAATAAGTGTTTGTTGAATTGCTAGGTAAGCCGCTTACATAATACACAGCAAAGTAAAAAGGAATCATTTGATACCTCTATTTTTTATTAAACTCTATTTTTTTTTTTTTTACCATGTTGCTAACTTACTTTTAATTGCCTTTTGACTGGCTGTAGAGGCACATATTTAGTTGTTTTGTGCAAGTTGAAATAATTGAAATAAAATAAGAAAAGTAATGAAAATATCTTGTATTTTTAAATATTAGTCTTTGTTCCAAGAACACACAGCAGTGGATTTACATCAAATCCACTGCAGAGTATCTGTAGGCTTTTAGAGGATACAGCCACTGCACTGTATGAAATTAAATGTGATGTCGTGGAAATACAGTCCACTTCCAGTTAGATATTTCTATAGTTTGCTTCTTTTCTAAATTGATTCTTCCATGTGGCTTTTAGTGGGAACTAATGCATCATGATCAAATGCTTAATGTGTTTAACACAAACTTTTAAAAAATATTGACCTTTTAAAAATCCTCCAGAAAGTGTGAGTGAATTCCTCCGTGTTCTCTTCTGTAGCTCTTTAGCCATCAAAAGGGACCATCTTCACAGTCCACGCACCTCCCCAGCTTTCCGCAGGATATCACACAACCACCTGGCAGGGAGTTTTAAACAAGTGGAGAAGTTTTATAAGATAAAAATATTTTTTCAGTTGACTTGACAACCATGCACAATGTTAGGGGAGAGTTTATTTGCCCGAGGCTCTTTGTCAAAAATGAATTGAGACTGAGATTATTAAAATGTAGCTCAGTTGCACAGCGTGAGGAGAAGTGTGGCTTGCGGCTTGCTTTGAGATGCATGCCACTCAGTTGTGGGCCTGGGTGTGCATTTCTGCTACCAGAGAGGAGACATCTGTGATATGAAACAATAAATTATTCGCACTAATCGAGAGTGTATCGCACTCATCTCTAATTTGGGTGGATTAGAGGTCTCTCCACTTGACCGTCAGACTGCCTGGGTCTGAGTCACAGCTCCCCTGCTAATTAACCTCACAGTGCCTTCCTCGTCTGCAAGATACAAGACATGATAATGGAAACATTATGAGGATATTGTGAGGAGTAAATGATATCATCATTGTCAATGATTAATATAGTGGCTGGAACAGATAGAGGTTCACAATTAATTGTTTTATTTCAAATCCGTAGACTCAGGACTAAGCAATGTCTCCTGATGACAGGTCCAGATGCTGGTTAAAAAAAAAAAAAGCCCTGTCCCAATTTAATGACCATCTTTTCTGTTGCAAGTTAAATAGCTTTAGGAAAATTTAACTAATGGTAAACAATGCTTGAATGGCCAGATCTCTCCATGGCTGTAGCTAATTTCTTACAGGAGAATCAGGATCCCAAAAGGAAAAGGCTCATCTGGATGAGAAGTTGTAATCTTCCCAATTTAGAAAATCACATTACACTACTTCGGGAGAATGTCCAAATTGCTAAATCTTGGAAGCGGTGCCTCTTCTTCTCTCAAATGGACACATTATTTAAGAAGTTTTATTATTTCTGAGAAAGATCAATTGCCTTTTGAAAGTGCTAGTATTTGTGTATGGTTCGGAGGCCTGCACGCCCCAGATGGAAGGGCTGGGTGTGTTCCACGTGGCAGGCGCCTGCCGTTGCGAGAGTCACCCAGCGCCACGGCTGCGGCTGGGCTCTGTGCTGGAGGTGGCAGCGGTGCTGGCAGGGGCCGTGTCTGAACCGCACAGTTAGACGTGCACTGAGGATTCTTTACCCGCCCAGGAGATTGTGCTGTACTTACAACTTCTTATTTTAATTTAACATCGGAACAAGTAGATTCTTATTATGTTTTTGGTTTTCCTGAAGTCCACAACTTCCACCACCATCAGCAAATATAATACAAAGATTACCTTCCATTATTATCTTTAATGATGTTTACTGCTTTGTGTTTTGTGACAAATTCAAACAAGTAGATAATTTCTCTGATTTACTGCCCCAATAAAAACAATGGTTATGAATTCCTACTATAATCTAGCACTGTGTCAGGCATTTCACATCATCCCCATGGAGACTTCACAGGCAGTCAGGGAAGTATTTTAAACACATGAGGAAACAGAGGAACACTTATTTCTTTATTATCGTTTAACTTGCCTGTGTTCACATGAATAAGGAGATACAGGATTCAGATTTCTGACTCCAACATTTTTCACTCTACCCCTTGTCACTGAGCTGGCCCAAACCTGCTTAACAGCATCTCTTATTTTCCTCTTTGTTTTCAAAGTATGAAAAACACACATCTTCTGATTCTAGTTATCATCCTATTAATGTGTGTCGATACAGACCCTATTTAAATTAATTAATTAGATTAGGAAAGATAAGTGTGATTCACCATATAGCTAAATTTTTTTTAACACTAAAAGTGAAGAAATGATACTCAATAAAGTGTTTCATTTAGACCATAATTTTTATAGTCTTCAAAGTAAGTAAACCTAGTGAACTTGTTACTTCATTACTCTTATTCGTTAATTAATTCCATCTATAGAATTTTCTTTCAAAAATATATTGAGTATAATAATTTTTATTTAAATTCTTAATTTATCCTAATGAAAATATAGTTTGATAGTCTTGAGAATTTTTTCATCTGAGAAAATGTTGTCTACTTATATTTTTCCTTAGAAACTTTATAATAACTCTTTTATTAGTGTTCTAAAACACAATATAGATATTCTTGTTATTTACAATTTTTCATTCTGAAAGGCTAGATCATTACACAGTGAGAAGAGGGCAGTTTTCAGACATATTCAATTTAAAATTCTTTTAGTATATTTTAAGTCAGACTTTTAGAATGGAATTCCAACCTAACAGAACAGATTCAGAATTCAGTAGAAAAACTAAAGATAGCCATGAATGTAGTTTCCTAGAGACAGGTTATATTATCTAAAGAGTGGAAGAAGATGATCCAATGAAGCACACAGAGAAAATAATAGGTGAATGTGGTTTTAGGTGTGATATAATATATGAATATAGAATCTCCAGTCAAGAGAAAGAATCTCAATTGGTCAACTAGAAATTTACTACTTCTATGTTTCTCATACAAACTACTATGTGAAAAATATGTCTATCGATGACTTCCATTTAGGTGAACTAAGCATATTATTTGCTAGATTGATTGGGAAAATGATTTTTTCTAAATAAAAATATAACATTAAAAAAATAAATCAATCTGAAATCTAATTTTATAATGAATTTCTCTCCCATTATTATAAGTCTTTAGCTGTTATTTAATTTCAGTTTTTAAAAAAACTAACCATACTTAGCTAATGTAATTTAAAAATTTTAATTATATTTCAAATCAGCATGGGCATTAATCATGACAATGACCACCCGTCATGTGCTGACGGTCTTCATATCATGTCTGGTGAATGGATTAAAGGACAAAACCTTGGTGATGTTTCATGGTCCCGATGTAGCAAGGAGGATTTGGGAAGATTTCTAAGGTACCGAGGTCACTTATTGTTGTTGTGTTATGAATGATTATGTGTGCCTGCTTCTTCTGCCAGCCAGCGAAGGTGGCATGGCAGGGCAAGACACCAGATTGGGAATCAAGGCACTTGGTCCCAATTCTGGCTCTTCCATGGACTCATAGTGTGGATTGGGACTTATTATTTAACCCATCTTCTTCTCAGTTTCCACACTTTCAAATTAAAAATTGGGCAAGATGATTTGTAAGGTTGAAAAATTATAAGGATTTAAAAAATCTATTACATTAGATTTTAAAAGTCTATTACATTAGAATTTAAAAATTCTAATTCTCTCTTCAGAATTTCTTTTAAAAAATATTTTATTGATATTTTACAGACAGGAAGGGAGAGAGATAGAGAGCTAAAATAGAAACGTCGATGAGAGAGAAACATCGACCAGCTGCCTTTTGCACACCCCCTACTGGGGATGTGCCCGCAACCAAGGTACATGCCCTTGACCGGAATCGAACCCGGGACCTTTCAGTCCACAGACCGACGCTCTACCACTGAGCCAAACCGGTTTCAGCTCTCTTCAGAATTTCTCAGTGGGAGCATGCTCATGCTCATCACTCAGCACATCTCTTGCCATCACGAAGAACCACTTTAACCAAAGGTGCACCTTTCCTTTGAGATGCTTCTACACGCTGACTCTTTTTTTCATTACCACATAATTTTCATCATTATAATCGCTCTTGGCCTTTTGGCTGAGATCAAGTGTAATTTTCATCATTACACATAGACCTCAATTCTCCTCCTTTCCATCTTCAACACCAGTAACACTTAGCTTTCACCTAGTTGGAAAAATAAGTGAAAACCATTATTATTGTTTTAATTTTCATTTTAAAGCCCATGTTCTTTAATTATCCTTTTGATCATGAAAGGAGCAGCTGAAACAGTGAGCAAAAGTAATGAGCAAGAGAGAGTTGCTTAGAGTAGCCAAAAGTCTTAAGTAAGAAATATAGAGACACCTAGTTAGCTTATTTTACTGCACTGAGAGATTTAATTCATTTTCACATACCATTTAACTTAGAAAGCCTGTGTTTTTTGCTAAATCTACTAAAACATTTATTACCATAATTCTGCTCTGAAATATGTACAATATATTCTGTGCACGCTCTTTGTTGTGATGGTATAGCCAACAGCACTCCGAGCACGTCATGTGAACACACAGGTCACTGGGGCAACAGCCCTAATGAGTTTCTAAGGAACATGGGAACATGTGTGATTTTGTTTGGCTGCCCTCACATGAATCAGAATTATGATAAAATTAAACGTCACCTCATAAGTGGAAGTTGTATTACTATGTCAAGTACAAACATATTCGTGCTATGCATGTTCACTAGAGAATGCTTTCTACAGATTCTTTAAATCACGGGATGTAGTTAATTTTTTACCTTCACACATCGCTTTTGGACAAGCTAATTTCTGAGTCTGTGCTTCTTTCTTCATCTTATAAATGTGTAAAATAGTAAAGCCACCTCAGTGTTATGTAGATTCGCTGAGCTAATCCAGAAAATTCTGTTATCTTGAACATTATTGTTATTATTAGGATTATCTTGAATGGAAATGCTTATAAATAAAAGTCAGACTATATTTTTCATCTTATGAAATATTTCCTGTTGCATGCTAATGATAACAACTTTTTACATTACATTCAAAATTTTACACATATCTGCATATTGTCAGGTCAAAGGCCAGTAACTGCTTGCTCCAGACAAACCCCCAGAGTGTCAATTCCGTGATGGTGCCCTCCAAGTTGCCAGGGATGACATACACCGCTGACGAGCAATGTCAGATTCTCTTTGGGCCACTGGCTTCCTTTTGTCAAGAGATGCAGGTAAGGGTTGTGTCCAGGTGGGATTTGTAAAGTGTGCGTTCACATTCATTGTTTAGACTCATTGATTAGAGGAGGGGAAGATGACTTTATTGTAGAGTTTATGGCTCAAAATCACCCCAATCTTCAAAAGCAGGATTTTCTCAGAGAAGTTTTCCACATTTTCCCCGGAGCGCTTTGGCGATGATAGAAATAAGATGTGGGCACTTAATTAATAAGGAATGACCTTCGTTAAAACTCCTTTTCCTTCTCAGCCACACGCTGTAGAATGAGAAGTGGGAATACATTGTGTTTTATTTATTTACTTTTATTGTTGACACTGTTCCAGATGATTTTAGAGTCTCTTAAGAGCTAAGAGGTTGGACTTCTGTGATTCCAAAATCTTATTCTGTGCTTTTCAGACACCGCTCCGTGCACTAATAACACAGCAGGAAACAAAGACCCCCCACTTTCATGGAGCATACATTTTAGTTGGGGAAACAGACAGAAAGCAAATACATATATTATAATATGTCAGTTGGGGTAAGTGTTTTGGGGAAGTATGAACTCAGATAAAAAGGAAAGGGAATACAACCTGCATGAGAGCATAGGAATGGTGCTGTTTTCTACAGGGCGATCTGGGAAGGCTTCCTGTAAAAGGTGACACTGCAGGGTGGGGACTGTCTGGTTGGAGGGTCATATAAGGCCTGCCATATCATTTGGCACGGACCTGCCAAGGGATTAGGGGTTAGTCGATAAAATGTCTGACCAAATAGAGCTGGCTAGTTTTTAAGCTGATAATTTTGTATGGCCCGTGAATGATGTTATAAATATCCAAGGTTAGAAATAAGGTTAGGGTCTGGAAGCAAGCCACGCATTTATCTTGGGGGGACAATGATACCTTGGAATGGAGATTTGGCTGTTTTTTACGTTTAAGATGCCTATTAGACATCCAAGTAGACATGTGAGTAGGTCCAGGATAGTCAATGGCAGAGGGTATAACAAAAATATTGGGGGAAATAGTTATTAGTTCTGCCTGTTATGGCACACACATATACCTTCAAGTGGATACACGTGGAATTATTGCATCTACCAGCCTGCCATCTAGTCTTTACACAAAATATATCTTCTAGAAGGCAGGTCCATAATCGAAGGAGTTGTCAATCCTTTTTATCACAGTACCTCTGGCACTAAAATGAGTGCTCAAGAAGTATTGATTAAGTGAATAAATGAATCAGTTGAATGATGAAATAGTAATTCTAAATTTTCGCTCACAGAGTTGGTTCTTAGCTATAGGCATATCTCATTGTGCTTCACTTTATTGCATTTTGCAGGTTTGTGGCAATCCTGTGTAGCACAAGCCTCTCAGTGCCATTTTCCAATAGGCTCAGAAGATGGTTAGCATATTTCAGTACTAAAGCACTTTTTAATTAAGGTGTTTACATTGTGTTTTAGACATGTGCTATTACACACTTACTAGACTACAGTATAGTATAAAAATGAATTTTGTATGCCCTAGGAAACCAAAAAAATTGTGATTTGCTTTATTGCAGTGGCTTGGAACTGAGTCCACACTATTTTCCAGACTTGCGGGTATATGACAAGATAATGTGAAAATAACCTTCTAAAATACTAATTTAACCAAATTAATTAATTCCTTAAATTCAATAACACATAATTAAATAAAATATTAACTTATGACTACATAAGCCAATGGATAAGGTCAGACAACTTATGTTTCACAGTTTCTACGTGTTAACCAAGCGTCCTTACAACCATTCCATCTCCAGTTATAAATAACTATCAAGCTGCATGGAATGAGGATCCATAGCATCGTTTCAACATGTGTTTCTGGTAAAATGTTAAGAGACTATGGCAGTTGGTCTATAGTATTTGAATCACGTATTGCTCTTCCATACTTGTAAACATTTATACGCAAGCACTAGCGACTCCAACATTACATACATGCTGATCTAATGAATGATACATTTATCCGAAGACGTAGCAGTAAAGATGCTTGTGAAACATCTTGACCCCCAGCAATAACAGCTCACGCTTCTGCATTAATATGCTAATGCCTTGGATATCCTTGTTCCCGAGTCCTGGTGCCTCTAGGCCATCTGGCATCTTATGGCTGAGCCAGCTCCAACTGCATCAAGTCATTATAATAGCTGCCGGTAATAGCCTCGCTGAGAACACAGATGTATGGACGTTTCCCTGGAAACAGTAAGAAGTGGCCACACAAAAGTTACATTTTTTTTGAGCAGTGAGGAAGTGTGCTGAAATAATTGAAGACCTCCAGGAAACTTAAGGCTCTGCCTTTGCGTTTGGACAGGCACATTGTGAATTGTAGACACACTGCATTGTGTAGGAAACTTTCTAGCGTAATTGGATTATAGGGTGACTTAAAAAAGTTATGTGGAAAGTTCATTTTACATTTCTCTTCTACCAACTTGATACATCAAAATAGGTAGGACTTCTAAACCCTCTCATTTGATTCATTGAACAGGGTGACAGTGAGTTAAGGTATCCTCTGAAGAATTCTAGATGACCGAGGCACTGGGATCTGGCATTGTGAAACTCCAGAGTCAACAGGAATTTGGACTTAAAAAGGCTTAACATGAATTTGCCCTTAACATGGCTAGTACTTATTTGGGCATTTCAGACAGCCTCATTGATAAATCATTGAAATTGTAGATCTTATAAGTCTTCCCTTCCTGTAAGATCTGTAAAGTTATGGTGGGTTAAACTATCAGGAATTGATTCAGCCTGTTTGGCCATCTAATCAAAGGTTCATCTTACCCTTTGCGTTTTAATGCTACAGTCTACAAGCACATGAGTTCGATGGCAGCTTATTTTGCTGGGTAATCTAGCTCTTTCATTTCTTTCCTCAGAACTATTTTTCCCCATGACTTCCCATGGACATGGACTTTTTATTTTTTTTAAGTCTCTTTGTAAATTGCCTATTTTAATTTTTGCCAATTTTTCAATTTTCTCTTTTTCTCGCTGATTTGCAGTTATTTCTATATTCTAGGTGAGAATTCTGTAGTTTGAGCAGTGTATCTAACTTTTATAGTATTCTTTGTCTTTTAATTTGAGGTGGTTAGATCCATCAGATTTCCTCATGGATTATGCTGTTTTTGTTTGTTTTCCTTCTTCCCTACTCTGCAATTAAATTGCACATGGTACATTCATTTTCTTTCAGCTTAAGTATTTCTTTAGAATTAAAGGCATTTTGGGTTTTTAAAAGATACCTTTTATTAAATACATCTACTTTGTTGCACTGCAGTAAGATGAAGTCATCTGTATGATGCCAATCCTTTAAAATTTATTGAAGTTTTCTGTTCATTGTAATATATGATACATTTTAGTATTTGTTCTCTGTCTACTTAAAAGGATGTGAGTGTTCTTTAAAGTTCATTATCTGTCACTAGATCTTAGATGAAGCATACTAATATTATTCAAAATATCTATTTGCTTATTTTAGTTTGACTGATCTATCAGTAATTAACAAGCATGGGTTAATATACCTAAGTTTGTTATTTATTTATTTGTCCCTGTAATTCTGACAGGTTTTTTCCCCTCATAGATGTTGTGTTATACTACAAGATACATACACATTTAAAGTTTTTTTATCTGCTTGATTTGTTTTTTCTTTTCCATTTTTTAAGATGATTTATGCTTTAAAACATTTTGTCTGGCATTAAAAACACCATCCTGGCTAATATTTTTCATACTTTCTCTTTAACATCTCCAGATATAAATATAATATGGATATTGATATGGATAAATAGGTATGTCTACTAGAGAAAAGCTATTGCTAGATTTTATACTTTTCTGTTTAAACTAAGTTATAGTTCTTTCAAATTTTTAATCAACTAGTTTAACATTTTTATATTTATTGTAATTAGTGGTGTTTTAAAAAATATATGTTTTTATTGACTTCAGGAAGGAAGGAAGGGAGTGGGAGAGAAATAGAAACATAAGTGATGAGAGATTGGCTGCCTCCTGCACATCTCACACTGGGGAGTAAGCCCACAGCCGGGGCAGGTGCCCTGACCAGGAATTGAACCATGGCCTCCTGGTTCATAGGTCAACACTCAACCACTGAGCTTTGCCAGCTGGGCTATGAAATTAGTTTTCTAGGATTTTTATTGTCAACCTATTTTATTTTTGTGTTTCATTTTATGTCATTTTTTTCCCTTTTCTCCTTTCTACGTTCAGTTAGAGAAACCTAATTTCCTCTGCATTCCAAAGTCATACATTCTTTATATGTTTTTGTGTATATCAGTAATTGATTCTTTCTTCTTGCTAAATCACAATCCACTGGTAGATAAACTATTTTGTTTATCAACTCACCTCTTCATAGAAATCTGGGATGTCAGCTGTTATGAGTAAGGCTACTTTGAACAATTGTGCAATGTTTATGTGATGATGTTGCAATGTTTTTATTCTGAAATATTAATGCTTTAATACATTATATATTAATTGAATTCTTATACACTGGCTTAGGGACTAGCTGCTTTTATAAGTAAAGTTTTACTAGAAAATAGTCATCCCTCTTTGTTCACATGTTCTCTTTGGCTGCCTTCAAACTACAAAGACAGTGTCTAATAGTTATAACAGAGTCCATATGACTCACAAATTTAAAATATATACTATTTGGCACTGTACCAAAAAAATTGCTGATCCCTTTTGTTTCTTCAAAAAGTTTTGTTTTCAGAGGCAATTAAGTTTGTTTGATTCAAACTGGAAACTCTGTCCTGCCTACAGTGTGTTGCTTCTCATGTCTTGGATAAGTTCACTCTTCCCTTATCATGTCTGTATGGGTTTTGTGCCAGCTAATGATTTAGGCTTTTCTAACTCTTTTCCTTTTAGGATTGTCCTTTCAGTTTTTTAAAAAAAAATGTTTTTATTGATGTTTAGAGAGCAAGGAAGGGAGAAGAATAGAAAGATAGAAACATTGATCAGAGAGAAATATCACTGATTGGCTGTTTCCCGCATGCTCCCTACTGGTTATTGAG